ACTGAGCTGAATGGTTGATAACATTGATTGAGTTTTAATTTTAAAAATCAACCCATGCTTATTTTATTTTGTTTTTTTTTTCATTTAAATAATGTTTTTTTTTTTATTATTTCGTTTTTTCTCAAAATTTTATTTTATTTTTACTTGTTTTAATTTAATTTCACTGAAGATACTGTATATATTCTTTAATATTGATTAATGTAATTTTTGGCCAGATGTAGTTTTTATTTTTTTGTTCATATCTGTCATTCATAAGGGACCTTGTCCCAGAATAAAATTTACTTTCTATCTATCTATCTATCTATCTAATTTCTACCTCTTCAAAGATACTGCATTCAATATTCTACTAACGTTTATTTTCTCTCTAATATATATTTTATTATTTCTTAAAGGCATCTTTTTGTTGTTATGCTTTTCATTTTTTAATGACTACAATCCCCTGATTGAGGCCTTTTTTAATATGAAAGGTAATATTCAGGATTTATAAATTGGCCCTAAAAAAGTAATTATTACAAATATTTTGATTTATTATGTTAAATGAAATATTGTAATAAGATCTACTTATTTCTATATTATTTCGCTGTTCCTTCACTAAACAATATATTATAAATTAAGTTAGGCACTTTATTGCTTAAGTAGCTAGTTAAGTAATAAATAAAATACTGAAAGAAAAACTTTCTGTTAATTATTTCAGAAATAAGTCATTAAAATGTATGGCTTTATTGCAACGTATAGATCCGTTGAAAACTGCATATGGGAAATTTGACCCAATCGCATTACGTTCCCTAACTAGTATAGGTAGAAAATTAAAAAGGTTAGCTTGCCAATTCATACTTGACTTTATTTTAAAATCAAACAGTGTTTAGTGTAGTTAATTTTAGTTTGTCTGATTGTTTGATCTGATTGTCAGTAACCCATACCTGAGATAAAATAATTATAAAGTTTAGCTTAATATACCAATATTATTATAATTGGTAAATGGTTGACTGTCTTGAATAATGAAGAGAAGAATAGTTGGGGTGATCAGTCAAATAAGAAGGCAAAAATAAATTATACTATTTATTTTGACATTAGCCGACGTTTCGACCTGAAGTTCAGGCCATCATCAGGGCTAAGAAAAAGAACCAGATAACAAGGTATGAGAAACATAAGTAGTGTAGGTAAAAAAAATTAAATTAAAATGCAGTTGTTAGAATAAATAATAAATAGAAATTCTAACAACTGCATTTTAATTTAATTTTTTTACCTACACTACTTATGTTTCTCATATCTTGTTATCTGGTTCTTTTTCTTAGCCCTGATGATGGCCTGAACTTCAGGTCGAAACGTCGGCTAATGTCAAAATAAATAGTATAATTTATTTTTGCCTTCTTATTTGACTGATCACTCCAACTATTCTTCTCTTCAATATTATTATAATTTTGTTATTATTTAACAACTTCTTATTTATTTTGGAAGGATAAAGTGATCTTCCAGGAGTCATTATTAGTTAAAAAATATAAGAGACATTACAAAATATATATAAACTGTAGGAAACTTACATTTATTTGTTTAGTAGACAGAGATTCATGTATACCAAAATCAGCATTCAGTCAAAATCAAAATTAAAAAAAAAAGAAAAATTAACTTATTAACATTTATTTGATGTATAAAACTTTTAAATAGGATATAAATAAGATCAAGAATATGACACAAATAAAAGAAAGGACATACTTTGGGTTAAGATAAATATGCAGCATCCAAATGGTCAGAATTCAGAATGACCGCACTGAGTCAGCTACAGGGAACTAATAAATCCACTGAATAAGGCACAAGTCAAAAATGGTGAAGGCGGAACTTGCACCTACCTGTTTCAGTGGTGACCACCGAGGTGGGAAGGCATATAACCCGTCTCTGTCCTAATATTGTAGGGTTTCCCCTTCATCATCTATGGAGGGACTGACTTACATGTTCTTGGTGGGGAAGTAAAAGGGAGAGGGATTTTTACTCTATTTTTTGAAATGGTTTATTATTCTACCTAAATTATGGTTTGAATTTTGCTTTTAAATTAATTATTATATTATATCCAAACATTGTTTATTTGGATTGAGTTATTAATCAAATTTATTTAAATAATGCTAAAATAATACACAAGGAAAATAGTAACAATAAAAGAAAAATTATCGAGTCAGTATATATTACTAAAAATTTTAAGAATTCCATAAATCACTATATAGATGTGGGAAATATAAATACCTTCTATGCTAATGTAATAATCAATATTTCGGTATAATATAATAATTAATTTATAGGCAAAATTCAAACCATAATTTAGATAAAACAACAAACCATTACAAAATAATTGAGTAAAAACCCCTCTCCCTTCCACATCCCCACCAAGATGATAGAAGTCAGTCCCTCCATAGATGACAAAGGGAAAATCTTAAAATATTAGGACAGTTTAATTTTTTCTGATTAAAGAAAATGATATTGAATATAGATATTTAGTTGGAGGACTACATTTAAGCTAATAATGAAGTTTATATAATGTGTAAGGGTTATGTACATGATAAGCAATTAAAAAAGTATAATAATTGATGTAAAGTATAAATGTACAACAACAAAAAAATAGTAGATTAACCAATTATGTAAAAAAATTAGTCTTTTAATTGTTAATATAATTAAATTATTATCTAATAATGAAAAAAAAAATGTGCAGACTTGAAAATGGCCCTAGTGTTGGCGGAAAAGTATAGATAAAATAAAATATAAATAATATGTTGGTGGAATATGTACTTAATGAAATGAATATGTAAACAAAAACCTCAAGACACCAAATCTAGGTGTAATGAATAGAATAAAAGTTGATAGTCGTTTTTCACTCCTCATAAAACCCCTAAATACGAATTTTTAAAGGTATAAAAAAATTTTCTGCACGAAATTTTCGCCTTGGCTGGACCCTTCGAAATTTCCTCAACAACTACAAAACTTATGATAACTTTAGAATGGCTTCACTGATCCACACAAAAATTAATAGGGACATAGGACTCTGCTAAATGAAATGGTCTGTATATAATAATAATAAAAGGCATAGCGAACCCGAAAGTTCGATGCCGACACCACCAATCGCTTATTACACACCTCCCTCGACCGTTCACCATCCAAACCCAGTCCCTTCAGATCGGCTTTAATGCAATCTTCCCACCTTCGCTTCGGTCTACCCCTCAGACGTTTACCATTCGGCACAGCAAATATTAACGTTTTAGGAATTCTCTCGTTACTAGGCCCAACAACTTTACAAGCCCATTTGATTCGCCGCGATGAAATTACTTGTTATATGTTATTACCCGATTATATGCTATTATATTACCCGGATACAGTTCACGCAATTTGGAGTAGTGTAACCGTCTGAACTCTCCGGTTAACTCATCCTTCTTCGGTCCGAATATTCTACGCAATACTTTATTTTCAAAAACCTTAAGACGTTTCTCATCCCTTAATTTAAGCGGCCAAGTTTCGCATCCATAAATAACTGTAGGCAAGATAATGGTTTTATAGATTCTAATTTTTAAGTTCCGGGACAAGAGGCGCGAACTAAGTAGTTTTGTCACAGAAAAATAACAAGCATTTCCCGCCTTCAGTCTAACCTTAATCTCTTCTTCAATTTCGTTTTTTCTAGTTATCGTAGAACCTAGGTACCTAAATTTATCTACCTGTTCAAACATATTACCATCTATATCGATATCACCAGTAGTATCGCCATTTTTGCAGCTAACCATATATTTTGTTTTATTCACGTTTATTTCGAGTCCTAGTTCTTTACCGGCTTTGATTAACGTTGTCGTATTTAGTTTTATAGTTTCAACGTCTTCGCTTAACAGTACCAGATCATCAGCATAGCCCAGCACGGATGTTGTCCCGCCCAGATCCAATCCTTTCTGGGCACGCATTACCTCCCTAATGGCATGTTCTAATTCCAAATTGAACAGGACAGGCGGAAGAGAAAATAGTCTGTATAAAATATAAAATATGTATAAACCCGATCTTTATAAACAAATTAAAACTAAAGATATAAAACAAAAATGCGTCAGAAGTTTTTCTTAGTTTCTAGTTTGAAAAAAAAAAAAAAAAATGAAATCCAAAAGTTATTGGTGTCAGTTGGAAGAGCAGTAGTTCAGCTTTCCAACGGTCATATTAAAGTTGAATTTGAAGAAAATCCTGAGGAGTTATGAATGCTTTAATTGATTGCCAGAAAAAACTCATACAAAAAATTAAGTACTAAAGGTTTTATTTTTTTATTTATATAACAATTCGTATTCATGAGTTTTAAATAGCCCTAAAAAGTAATCTAATTTGGTTTTTCATAACAAAAATTTACTTGGCCTATTTTACTGGACTCACCTTTTGGTTTTTATAATTTATGGTACATTATAACTCATTTAATACATTAGTTAATAGTTTTTTCTTACTCTGCACAAAAAAAAAAGATTGATATAATATAACTTAAAAATCTGGTCAAAGCAAAGGCAAAAGTAAATAACATAAATTATGTTTGAAATTATATAAAATCTTTTTTTCTTGGCTCTTAGGCAGAGAGAGGCAAATGCTTTTCTGAATACAGAGTACTAAGTACTTTATTCAAATTGATTGAATCACTATTGGGAATTCAATCACTACTTCAGTTAATCGTTTGATAGCAACTGAAGTAGTCATTAAATTCTTTGGTACTCAAAAAATATCAGTATTCGAGTAAAATACTTGGCTCTCAGTACTCAGAGTATCCCCCGAGATTCCCATCTCTGATCCTAGGACCCATTGTGTCTATATTTATATGTATGTATATGTGTTATTATATACATACATTATTATGTATATGTGTCTAATATTTTTCGATGTAGTATCACCAAAAAGAATTTGGTTGAAACGGGTGACCCACAGACTGTATCCTGTCCTTTTTGAGTTCATGAAATAATTTTATCCTTTTTTTCAATTTTCTTATTTTCTATTTATTAGTGACTCCAATGGGCACACCACAAAGTACCCCTGTGGGAACTCCTCGTGGAACGAGAGATGGAGGTGATTCATCAGATACAATGAGTGAAACAGATTCCCAGAAATCTTTAAGAACAAGAAGAAAACTGCCATCTATTCCTTCAGATCAAGAAGCTATTACTCTTCCAAACACAAAAAAAAGAGATAGGGTTAAACCAAAAAGTCCGCATGATAAATTTAGGTATATATAATTATATTTAATATAAAATTATTTGGATGAAGATTTTATTTGAGTAATAATAGTTGAAGCGTAAAAGTCCAATAGGGTCTAAGTACTGAAATACCTAATATAATTTTTTTGTAGGCTACAGATCTATGTACTGAGGCCAATTATATTAGATGATTAAGAGTGAAATTAAGTAGTGTTATGTAGTTTCTATTGTAAATCAAAGATAGTGCTATGCTGATTTGTACTTGGAGGTTTAAGTTTCTTCCTTTGTGCCTGTGCCTCTTCCCACTTTTTATGTTTCTAGAAAATTCTTATGTTGTAGACAGTTCACTGAACTGTATCTTATAAAGTTTGTTAGTGTTGTATCCTTCATTTTTTTTGCAAATACTTTTTTGAATACCCCTTTAAGTATACCAAGTAGAATTCGCCCTCCATATTTTATGAAATCAGGTATAATACCATCTCTTCCTTAAGATTTTCCTGTTTTTAGTTTTTTCACACCATCTTCTACTTCTTTCTTGCACACAGTTTCATCATATTCCTACTGTGGCTTCTCTTCCTGTAACAACTCAAAATCCACACTGATACTTTTCTAAAATTTCCTCTGAATATTTTTACAGCCTTTTCAGTAACAAGTTAGAAAAGAGCAACTCCACTTGAGGTCTCAATCTAACTTCAAGGATGGATTTCTAGTTCCATCCCCCATACTTACAAATTTTCCAACTATATTATTCCATCCTATAGATTTTCCTGTCTTCATTTCTTCTATGGCCGTTCCAATTCCATCCTGTATGGACGGCAGTCTCCGTGCTGTTTCCAGTAGTGCCAGATGAAACGCCCCGAAGTATGTAGGTCTGTCAATATTTTAGGGTTTCGCTACTGCAGTTATCCTTCCATGCTACTTTATTCTCACTAACCAGTGTTTTTAATTCATCATTCCACCGTGTAGTACGCTTACGATTTGTTGACTCCACAGACTAGTACAAGAGACTCCAAGATACTATCCTTGATATGCTTCCAGACATCCTCCAGGGTTGTATCTGTGTTCAATTCCTGAAGTCCTCTGTTCATTTTCATATCCCTATCTAATCTGAGGGTCTTAAAGCTTTTTTACCTCATTCCTATCTTATGTTTTTGGCTTTGTCTTGTGTTCCTTAAGCACCTGAGTGTTTTTAATCAGTAGCATATGATTATTTTCTATCTCAGCTCTCATATCTCCTTCACATCTGTGAAAAGCCAATATATGTTGTGGCCATATATAAAGTAATGAATAACACTATTTGCATTTCTTTCAGCTGCTGAAGAGGTAATTTTATGCACCGACTTGTAAGGAAAATATGCATTCCTTTTGAACATCTCATTTTCCACATGAAACTCAATTAACCAGTGTTTACTTTCATTCTTTACTCTCTGACCTCATCGCCGAGAGGTCATTGCCTGTTCATGCATTTAAGTCTCTCATTATAAGTATACTCCAGTTTTTATTTTTGTTCTTAATTATGATAAACTCTATGTTCCCATAGAACTGTTCCTTTTCTAGAATGTTCGCATTGTTTGTAGGAGCCTAAACCTGTATTAGGATCTAGGTTCTTATACAAAAATTTATATTGACCACTAATATCCATGAATTTACTGGCTTTCATTCCTCTACCCATCTAAAAAACTCATCCTTCATAATAAAGCCAACTTCTTCTATGGCTTTATTACCTAGGGAGACTCCTGAGAAAACCAACATGTGACCTCTGTTCATCTTTATAATTCCAGATCCTTTCTTTCTCACTTCGCTGATTCCTAGGGTATCCAACCTATACCTCTTTATTTTCTCTATGACTTCTATTTCTTTCCTCATAAGCTATCTTATATTCCAAGTTCCTAGCCATATGTCATTTTTCTTGGTTGTTCTCTTCTAGTCCGTCCAAATCCGAGACTATTCACTGTTTTTCTTTTAATCATATTTACTAGCTTATGGTGATTGGCCCAGCAAGAAAGACAGTTTTTCGGCGCTATGGCCCATCTTATTCTTCCCTTTTTAATGAAGGAAACTAAATCAGGTTCTCCTCGTAGGTTCTCAAGTTCCATGTTTGTTTATAAAAACATACAAAATTATTGTATAAACAAAAATGACTTCCTTCTTTGGTCGGGCCATATATTCTTCTCTGATTTTTTCTCACTACGATAAATTACAATTAGATGAAGTACCATTTTATATACTTTTATTTTGAGATTTTGGGTTCTCTTTATTTTGAAATAGCTTTCTGAGGGACCAATAACACTTGTTTCCATTTACAATTCTTGTTTTTATTTCTTCTTCCATTTTATTATCGTTGGTTATAATGAACATTATAACCATATCAATAGGTTATAGATTTTAACATTAATAAATATTGTAACATAAATTAATATACATAACTCTTATCTCAGTTATTAAAGCTGATAAAGCTAGACATGAATCGAAATGATTAAAGTTGTACATTTGGGCAACTAAACTGACATCTTACTCCCATTGTCTTTGAATGTTTTTTAAATGATTCTTTTTGTTATATTTTGTGTTTGGTGTAAAATAAAACATTTATTCATTCATTCATTAATATAGTTATGGTGTTGGCATTTTTTTCAAGAACCATGTTTATGGATTCTAGATAATTCTTTTCTATGAAATTCCTTTATATTATTGATCAGTTTATATAAGTTCTATTTCTGTTTTATAATTAATATATGATTTAATTGCAGCCGTTCATATTCTCCATTGAGGCAGTTTTCAGATGGGGGTTATAGAGTATCTTCATCAAATCTGATGTTACACAGGCCTAGCTCTAGTGAAACAAATCTCAGAAAAATTTCTAATTTTGGTCCAGAAACAGTTCCCAGGCCTGGATCTGCTCTTGGTCTTCTGCAAGGTAAATTAAAAATGTTGTGTTTAAAAGCTATTTATTTTACTTTTAAAAAATAAATAACTGATTTTTATATTTTTTTAAGAATCCATTTTAATGATATTTTTTATCTTCGAAAATGTGCCATTACATAAAGTTTCAATGTTATTGTAAAGGTTTTATTTTACTTTTAAGTTGGAGAAACCACTGTATTCAATCAAGTAATGTAAACTGTGTAAAGTAGCATCAACCCTACTCAGCCTTAAAGGGAAATAAAGATCACTAAGCTTTAAAGGGAAATTAAGGGTAAAGTATATTTCTTCTTGCTTGACAATCCTCATCTCACTATACAGCTTAAAATATACCTTAAAAACAGGCTAGAGGAGGATACTAATTGTATGAATCTTTGCAAAAAAAAAAAAAAAAAAAAATGCAAGAACCATAAAGTCATACAACAATAAGACAACTTATCATAATCGAATCTTTAAATGACTTTTTTTTTGCCAAGCCCAGCTCTATTGGAATGTTGATAGACTTTTTCTCTCTAAGTTCTTTGATTTAAGAATGTAAAAACTCACAAATATTTTTGGTATTGTAGTGACAGGATTAACAGCTATTTCGATGACTTTAAAATTACTAGTTTTCTTGCTCACATACTCCCTTGAGCATGGGTCTCAGTGTTATAAAAAAGTTCCACTTCAAGCCACGTAAAGATGATGGTTGCCTGGAAATACAGGACCTATTACAGGGTCCTGTTTGCCTACAATCCATCACAAATTCAGCTTAGATTTAAGTGCTTGGGATATATCCAGGTAAATACACCTTCATCCCATTAGGGATATTGAGTAACTGATTGGATCAGTCATATCTGGGAAGATTTTATCTTTTCGAATCCAGTAGTTATAAATGAGACATTGAGCCCAACATTACTTGTTTACCGTAGGGGTATACTTCCCACCAAGACCTTTTCTTTTCCCTCTCATCTTAGGACCTGTTTATTTAAATGGAAGAGTCACTGTACCAAGTGATTCTGGCCACCACGTTATCCTCGCTGATATCTGCAGGAGACTCCATGAAAGCCTCCTGTGTACTCCAACAAGCTAGACAGAACCTTAAAAAGGCTGAGTGGACCAATTGCACTGCACTTTTTGCTAAGGAAATTTCCTTTGATCTGCTGAAAGATGTGAATTCCCTTGATTACCGAAGGTATAGTCAAAGTTTCAAAAAGCTTTTCTGACTTTCCTACTGCTTAGCTGAAGAATAGGAATTACTCTTCAATTCCTCATTCAATAAACGAGAACTTTATTCCATAATAATTCTAACTTTCAGCAAGTAACCTTCCAGTAATGTGCAGTAAACTAACAGAAATTTACTTCATAATATTTCAATAGGCAAGAATTTTGCTCCATTCCTACCAGAATCCAAAATCCTACCAAATTTTATTGAGCTTTTGGACAGAAGGCAAAAATTGGGCAGCTTTTCAACTCATCCATAGTTAATAGCATGGAAATCATCTGACACACCATGTACCATGTATAGGATTTGCAAAAGAGGCGTGATGCTGCCTGCAGATACTTCAGGCGTACAAGGCGTGCTGATGACTGTGAAGCGTTTAGGGTGCTCCGCAATTTGACACAAACAAGGATTCGGTGATCTAAAGCTACATACTTCCATGAAGCCCTCGCATCTGCTCCTGATTCCAAATCTAATTGCTTAATCCTTCACAAACTTTCCTCTGTGAACCTTTCACATCTCTTTCCTCACTAGTTTTTCTTGTTTCACATGACGATCTAAATTTACATTTTATTGCTGCCTCTTCTACCTCTCCTCTACCCTCCTCCAACTTTGCTCCTGAGTCATCATTCAATGATGATGACTTTTATTTCTCCGACATTTCTCCCACTGACATTCCAACTGCTGTTATGAAATTCCACACCAATTCCATAGGACCAGATGGCATCCCAGTCAAATTAATAAAATTATGTCTCTCTGAAATCCTCCCAGTTCTCCTATTCATCTACAATTTTTCCTTACAGAATTCAGTATTCCCAACCTCTTGGAGAAATACTGTTTTCCTTCCATTAAATAAAAAGCCTAATCCTTCATCTCCTGAAGATTTCCGCCCAATCTCAATTCTTTCCAATCTCTCAAAACCTCTAGAAAGGTTGGTCCAATCCCAAGTTTCCAATTTCCTTGAAAAGTCCAACCAACTTGATCCTCTTCAATCTGGTTTCCGTCCTGGCTACTCCACACAATAATTATCTTAATTAAAATTACCAGTGGTAATCAGACTGCTTCTTCTTCTTCTTTGTCTTCCTCACAATGCCATTTCTAGCGTCGAGGAGCCTCTATCCAACGCAGCCACCCTTCCCGGTCTCTGCTTAACCGCTTCATTTGGTTGAAGGATTTGCCTCTTCTACCTCCGATCCTCTCCATGAACTCCTGATATGAGACTCTGGGACGCCCTCGTGGCCTCTTCCCTGTGGGTCGAGCCTCTAATATCTTTATAGGGTCCATGTCCTCGTTCATGCGGCAGACATGTCCAAACCACCTTAATTGCCTGTTCTCCAAGGTAGTTTTGAGTTCAGGCACTTCCAGCTGTTCTCTGATAGTTTCATTTCTAATGCGATCCCTCCTAGTTTTGCCCACCGATCTACTTAGGAATCGCATTTCCGCTGCTGTTATGCGACTATACTGTTTGTCCAACATAGTCCAACTTTCTCCGCCGTAGGTGAGAATAAGAAGGTATACAGACTTATAGACGTGCATCTTGGTATTATTATCCACTTCATGGCAGCTGAGGATACTGCTAGCGATCTGGTGATATACTTGATTCGCCTTAGATATTCTATACGAAATCTCAGCATCTATCTTACCAGCGTTAGCAATTATGGTACCTAAGTATATGTACTCCTTTACCACCTCAAGAATTTCTCCGTTGCAAACCAATTGGAAGTCTTCCTCTTCTTCTCTCGCCATAATCATCACTTTACTTTTGGAGGCATTTATTTGCATACCTTTCCTCAGCAGCTCTTCTTCCCATTCTACCAGTGCTTGCTGTAGTTTCGTCTTGGAATCGGTGATGAGCACAATGTCATCCGCATACAAAAAGCTCTGCACGAGGACAGTTCTCATATTCCAGTTTCCAATTGTAGTCCATGCAGTCCGAAGCTTGCTGATTTTATGGATCTCGTCCATGAAGTTTATAAACAGGAGGGGGGCTTAAACTATATCCCTGTATGACTCCTCTTGCAATTGGGAAAGGTTCTGACTCGGTGCCATTTATCCTTACCACTCCAGTGGCCCCCTGGTAGGTTGATTTCACGGCCTCAATCAAATCTCCAGGCACGCCCTTGGCAACCAAAGCGTTCCAAATTTCTTTTCTGTCAAGAACGCTGACGAGTCAAACGCTGCGCTTAGATCAAGAAATGCCAGGTACAGGTTTTTGTTTCTGTCCCAGGCCTTTTCAGCAATGGTTCTAAGAACAAAGATATGGTCCTGAGTCTGCCGGCCAGGACGGAAACCAGCTTTCTAGCTGTCCCTCCACAATCCGCCGGAGCCTCCTTTCTAATATAGAGGTATATAATTTTTAGACCACAGAGAGCAGACTGATGGGTCTATAGTTATTGCAGTCCATTGAACTGCCTTTTTTTATGAATTGGAAGGATTATGCTATATTCCCAATCCTTGGGAATTTTCTTTCTATTATACACTTCCTGAAAGAGCCTTTGAAGGACTTTAAGGAGTTCATTTCCAACATATTTCAAACATTCTGGGGCGATACCATCTCTTCCTTGTGCCTTTCCTGCTTTTAGAGTCTGGATTGCGTCTTCTATTTCTTCTTCTTCTATTACCTCTAGGCTTTCTAGAGTAGAGTGCTCTAGTTCTTGGCAGTGATATATTGCTGGGTTTTCGGAGAATTGTTCCTGAAAATGTTGTTTCCATCTGTTCAGGATCTGTTCCTTGTCGGTAAGCAGGGATCCATCGTTATCCTTTACATTTCTGACGGGCTTGTTTTTCTTTCCTCTTAAGAATTTAATTTTTCGCCAAAAAGTTCTTATGGATTCACGATGGTCTTCACTCAGTTTTTTACCGAAATCCTCCCACGAATGTTTTTTGGCCTGGCTAACTGCTGCCTTGCATTTATTCCTGGCTGTTTGGTAGTTTTTCAGCTTTTCCTCGTTTCTATCTTGAAGGTATGCTTTCCAGGTAAGCTTTTTCCGACCAACTATTCATTGAAGGTCCTCGGTCCACCAGTCAGTCTGCTTTCCCTTACCAGATGCCTTCCTCTTCCCACATACAGCATTTACAACCTCCAGAATACATGACTTTAATTTGTTCCAGATATCTTCTACGTCTCTGTCGAAAGTAGTTGCTCTTAATTTATCTTCTAAATTCTTCGTGTAGAGGAACCTCTTTTCTGGATCATCCAAGGCTCTAATATTCACGGTCTTAAATGCCTTCGCTTTTCTTTTACTATCCATAATGATCTTTGTATCCGCCACAAGTAGAAGGTGGTCACTGCCTATCTCTGCTCCTCTTACGATCTTTACATCAGAGAAATATTGTCTAATGTGTTGGTCATATATAAAATAGTCAATTATACTATTTCGCTCCAAGCACGAGAAAGTAATTTTATGAATTCTTTTGTGTGGGTAGAATGAATTCCCTATGAGGAGGTCATTATCAACACAAAAGTTTATTAGCCGCTGTCCATTGTTATTTTTTACATTTTCACCTCCATGCAGCCCTAGAACGCCTTATCCTGATCCAACATCATTTCCTGTTCTGGCATTAAAATCCCCACTCAGGATCACAGATCTTCCTTTTTCCTTAGCTTTATCTACAATATTTTGTAAATCCGAGTAGAATGCCTCCTTTTCCATAACACTGGTATCCTCAGTTGGTGCATACACCTGGACTATGGAAATCCTACCAATGGGCATCCCAAAATCTGCCACGATCAATCGAGATGATATTGGTTCCCAGTCCTTCAAACGATCAACCATTTTTGGCGACATTACTAG